CTTTCTAAGCCACCAACCTGATTTGAATTAAATACAGATTATTATTAATTTTTAAAGCTTGCAAGTTTTGATGGAGTGAGAAGGCAACAAGCACGTACATCTCAGAAACATCCAGCAAAAGCATTCCCAGTTTCCATCATTTCTCATCAGCTCTAACAACAGATGTCAAAAAGCTCCCATTGAGTTTGCTTCAGAAACTGATAAAAGGGATCCCTAGAACTGCTTTCACTTTGCAGTGTGGATCCACAGGTCTCTCACACATACTCCCACTGAAGCCTTGTGGTTTTGTATCCTCACGGATCCCTCCTGCGTGGCTGCAGCAGGTCCATCCTCCCTCTTTTGCTTCAAGAAGACCAGAGTAAATATATATATTTACTTTTTTTTTTGCTGAAAACCACCCATTCTGCCAGCACCAACCTTTCCTTTCTTCTTTGAGCTGCCGCTGGGTTGTGAAAGGGCTGCAGCAGCTTGACAGCCCTGAGAAACCAGAAGTCTATCAGCAGAGGGGGGGTCGATGCTGGTGGCCAGTGATAACCGCCCAGGGTGCAACCATAGCTCAGGCAGTTGGCTTTGCTTGCCCTCTACCCGTGAAAAACAGAATGTGGGAAAGCCTGACCCTCTCCATGCACGGATGGGGAAGAAAATAGTTCACCTCAATTCTGCAGAGATCCGCCCCCCAAACCTGCCAGCTCACCATGGCACACAGGCTGGTCACCAGCAGCTGGCACTTGGTGGTCCTCATCCCGCACTTCGGTCCCATGGCTGCTTGTCCCCAGAGAGAGCTGGCAGTTGGTCCCTCCGGCTCTTGATAAAGCCTGGGTTTCCACCAAAGGAAGGCATGGCCAGAGCGGGGCCTCTCGGGAAGTGTAGTCCCACCGGGTGCTGATGCACCTCCTGCTGCCCGACTGTTGTACCTGATGAAAGCAGCCACCTTCTGCCCAAGCTGCTGCCGGGCTGCCCTGGGAAAGGAGGAAAGACAGACAGAAAAACAGCCTTTCACCGAGTTCAGAGAAAAGCTCCTTAAAAATGTTTTTGAAACCATTCAACCAACAGTTGGTATAAAAATCCCCTGGTTTTCACTTTCACTGGGCTCACAGTTTTGCCTAATGAACATTGTAACTATTAAAAAAAGAATAATCTGCATAAATATTATATTCGAAAAAAATTTAGGAAAATGCTATTTAGAAAAGATTTATAAATTATTTAGGAAAAAAAAATAACCTGTTGTTTAAAGAAGACAGCAAAAAACTCAAACAGATCTGCAAAGGAGCCTTCTCTCCCCAGTTAAAATACACCACATGGCAATAACCTTTGGCTGAGACTCTATTGAAACTTTTATTTGCAAACAAGGGGAAAAACAAAAATCCCTTTGGTAGTGTTTTATTCAGGAAAATGTCTATGCTCAGGAGATTCTCACCATCCATGGACATTTTTACTCTGTCCTTTCCCCTCTCCTACCACTGAAGGCTCCATGGACCCACGGCCACAGAAGACTCAGGTGACTTCTGGTCTTCAAAACCAGCTGCCTGCTGGATGCATGTTTCCTGAAAGCAAATTGCAAAGAAGCCTCAAGAACAGACTGGCCAAAGGGAGAGTGAATGCCTGTGTGCCTTTAGCATCCTTAGTTTCAGAACAAGACCAGGAGAAAAGAAGTGAAACAGAATAATGGAAAATAGTTACATGCCCCCCAGATGGCAAAAAGAACCCAAACCAAACAACAACTGAAAGAGGAGGAAAGGTAAATGCATCCCACATCACTAACTATAGCTACAGGAAAATTACAAAGAAGGAGGAGGGGAGTAGAAAAAGGAAGGAAGACGCATATTGTAGAGCAAAGAGAAGTAACAGAAAGTGAGTTGCACAAGGACACGTGCACAGGAAAAAGTGTGCCATGATCTTCTGACTATATCACTGCCTTTCTTGCAGGCTTTCTTGCAGAACATCCTGATTGCCACCTCCTGAGCTGCCAATGAGAGCTGCCACTGTCATTTCTGAAACCAGTGTCCCTCATAGCTCGTGGGTCCATGCCCTGGTGGTTCCCCATGGTGCCCAGTGGGAGACACTGATGTGCCAATGTGCACGCAGAGACCTTCCTACTCCAGCCATCCACTAGAAAGCACCTGAGAAAGACCAACAGATGGACATCAGGGAAGGACAGCAGCAAGGAGAGGACTACAGATAGAGAGAGGGCAACAGGCTGGAGAGGCAGCTCCTGCCCAGCCACACATGTCCAGGAGCAGGAACTAGACACCATCTGCAGCAGTGCAGACCCTTGAGGACAGGAGTGCAGCTGCAAGGTGGCTGCATCCACACAGTCCCCACCAGAGGCCCCATGGGGAAAGTGCCTTGTAAAACACTGGTGGAGTTAGGACTGCATCCAAATGCAGAGCTGTGAGCACCTGACATTTCTTCTGGTGCTACTGAACAGACAGTTGTGTCATCCCCTGCATTTTCAAGGGCAATGACCACCAAGGGGACACAGGTATAAAGGCAGCAGGGTTGGTCCACAGATGGAGTTACAGGTTAAATCTGGAAGGGTTGCAAGAAGGTATGAAGTACAGGTCTGTGTGTAAAACCAGCTACAGAAGCCCGACCAAGAGCGACAGTGAGTTAGAAGTGAGGGTGCAGCCACGGTGCACACCGTGAGCACACCTGGAGCCTGTTTCACACCAAGGGGCATGAGAAAAACCATGCAGCCCATCTTCATTTTTTGCTAGAACCCAGTTTCCTTGCCCAACCCTAAGCGGACGCTACTGGAGACCTGTGCAAAGCCAGATCTCACACTAGAGGTCCCCACAGGTCAGTAGAAACCCTTCCCAAAGGCCTGGATGATTCAAGTCGGCTTTCTGAAGGAAATAGATGGGCATTTTCCTTCTTAATTCCCCAAAAGTCTCCTCTATCCGTGCAGGAGCCTCGCATCTGACTGCAGGACCACTTGAGAGATCACAAAATTATAATCTGTACCCGTTGGAAATGCTCTTAGGCTCTCCATAAAAGGTGTTCTACCTCCTTTTGTCTCCAGCCACAAAAGCAGGCACCTCTACTGCCTCACCAGCCTCTCAAAGCAGGTCTATAACTTTAAACACCTGGGTTTAAACGGATATTAACTCTGGTTTGGTTGTGAGTGTTTATTCCTGGATAGTTTACCCATGTCTTCTGATAGTTCAGATGCTTCTCCCACTTCCAGTGCTTAGCACTCTTCTGTCCTGCCTGCTCCCTTGATTAACTGCTCTGGTGCTGCACTGGATTTAGAGGTGGAGGCATTTTTCTGCAGTTTTTCTTTCATCCATCTTACCCTTTATCCCATATAGCTATGGCTTGAAAGACTTCTCTTCGGGGCACAACACATGGATTTCTAACATAAAAAAAAATAATAAAAAGCAAAATAATTACTCCCTCTCCCCAAAATAAAATCAATAATAGGAGCATTAGTAGACCAGGGGCATTAAGAGGCTGGAGCTCTGATTGCAGAGGGCACATCTGGCACATGCAAAGGCACTACTGAAGTGAGCACAGGGGGAGCATGTATGCTCATCTTGATTGTGACCATTGAAAAGGGGGTCATTGCAACATTTCACTTTCTCCAGGATTGAGATTCCTCCAGGTGCCACGTCACTGGCATATACTTGCCTTGGCAGCTCTCTGCCCAGGGAGCCCTGTCAAGAAGCAGAGTGTCCCCCAGCCCCATCCTAGCAGGAAGAGAAGCAGGGCTAGGGGCACACCAGGGACCCACCTTAGCAGCCAGGGCATGGGCTGGATGGCAGTGTGGCTTTCCCAGCAAGACTCAGCCTCCTGCCTGCCCTGCCAGGCTTTGTCACTTGGTCCCCTTTGCAAGAGCACAACTTAGCACTCCCAAACGCAGTCGAAAAAACACAGATGACCACAGCTCCTGTCTGCAGCTTCCTCCCTTATCTCTGGTTATCAGCCAGGCTGAAAATACCCCAGGGAGAACAGGTGCCCTCTTCTGCTAGCCTTATGACAGCTTGCAGCCTTCTGGTAGGTTGTGAAAACACATGCTGGCCTCCCCAGGGTGTTGGATGGATGTGCCACCTTGTCCGGAAGGAAAGGACTGGTTTAAAAAAGGGAACAAAGGCAGGTAATATTTTTTACACAGCTAAAAATATTAGATGGATGTCCTAAAAGAACTGGAGGATTTGATGTGTTAATGCTGCATGGGGTGAACTTGGGAGACTAAACATAAATGGGGGAGAAGAGGCTGCATTCATACTAGTGCTTTCTCACTGTTCACTTTTCTGGCTCTTGCTCCATCAGTTCAGCCACCAGTGATGCAACAGCAGCACCCTGGTCCCAGCTGCTTGAACTCCAGCCAGGCAGCAGGTAAGAGAAACCTCCTCCTTGGGCTTGGGGTGCTGCTGCTCATGGTCCTGCAAACAGCTGGAGGGAGGAGAGAGGAGGTTGCCACAGGAGGCAGAACTACAGCCTTTGTCCAGGCAGGACACATCCATGCCAGGTCCCTGCTGCCACTTGGAAGCCTCCTCCTTGGCCAGTCCACACCACTCTTAGGAAAAACACCTTCAGGGTAGAAAAGAGCTTCAAATGTGGCAGATTTACAAGTCTGACTGGCTCAGCCCATTTGGTCGCCCCGCCCCTGCCCATGCCATGGCTGTATTCACCCCAGAGCTCGCTCGTAAATAAAACATGCCCGGATGAACGGCAGCAAAGCTCCCTGAATGATGGGAAGCCAGGGAGACTTTCCTGAGCACATCACAAGGATGCATTGTAAAGGCTGCTTAGCATTCATATGGCACATACACACAATCAAAGCTAAAAATTGACTTTTAAACCCGGGGCTGTGTCTTTTCAAGAAGAGAAGGAGAGGAGAAAAGGGGGAGGTGCTGGGATTTGCCAGGCTTCAGATGCACCACACAACTCTGCTGTGAATGGAAACAAGGCTGGCCAGAGGCTGCCTTGAAGAAACAAAACCAGAGAGAAATCATAAAATCTGCAATGATTCCCAGGCATTTTGAATTAATTGGAGGTGAGGAAAAAAAAAAAAAAGTCATAAGAGTTATTAAAAAGTGTTCATCAAGCCCAAAAAACATTGTATTTGAAAGGAGTATAAACTGAAGAGAGGGAGTTAAAGAACAATGGAATAGTTCCCTTCAAAGAATAAACTCAAACGTTTTTTGACCCCAAAAATGGAACAACTGCACTCATAGCTCTCAAGAGCTATTATTTCACAGCCTCCTACCTCAACTAGATTATTTTTTCTTTTTCAAATGATACCTAATTGCAAACCATAACTGCCCAGGAGGTAGCTGTGCTGGGACAGACCTCTAGGCCTGCTCCCAGAAAAACCAGTGTAAGCAGAGCCCAGCCTGGCAAACGGGGACCCACACGCTCAGCTGGGAGAATGGGGCTGCTTGACTGCCTCTTGCCATTTATTTCTGGCATTTGCTCTCTCGAGGCTTATCAGAGTGGGACCTCTTGCTTTTCAATGATGTCCAGAAAGTTTTGGCAAAAAACCCCAGAAGCTCGAGTCAGCTTCTGTAATACATGGATCATGGTGTGACTGACCCAGCACCTTGTATGCTGTGCTCCCACCAACACACATCCCAGCTCAGGTGGCAGCATTTTGCCCTCACCTTTGGCAGACACAAGAAATAATATGCAGCATCAGAGGTCAGAGGCCAACCACCACAGTTACCCTCTCTCTGAGCAGCTGGCTCCCTTGCACCATGCTGGCCAAAGCCACCCAGGGCTGTGAGATGTCCATGCCAC